CGGGGGTAATTGTCCGGGGGTAATTGTCCGGGGGGTGATTGTCCGGGGGGTATTTGTCCTAGAACCATATATATATACATGTCGGAATCGAATGTTTGGTTTGTAGGGTTTATGATGGAAGGCATCCCACGCTCCTTCTTGCTGATCCGGACTTAATCAAGCAGGTGTTTGTGAAAGACGCTCTCGTAGCATTTGTAAACAGAAGGGTGAGTGGTTCCCTATACACTATATAGTCTATACTAAAGCTTGGCACGTCTGTAATGATCAAAGAGCGTAACATTAAAACATTCACAACAGTGACACAAGAACACACAACACACACACACACGCACGCACGCACACACAGCGTAACACGAGAATTGTAACATTCACAGTGTTATCGGAGTGGCGTACACCACTATATAGCGCTATATCACTTTGTTTGCACCACGCAACGCCCAACAAGATCGACCGACTATATACGATCAAATGTGCTATTGTAATTTGTTTTAAATAAATATTATGAGTCATGAGAGTTTTAGTATGAATTTTTATTGATATTTTAGCATCTGGTATTTAGTATTTATTATTGTAGAGTTTCGGGGACAGCCAGAGTAGCGATGACATTTTTATGGAAGGTTTAGGAAACCTGACAAACGAGAAGTGGAAGGATATGAGAAGCATCCTCACACCAACATTCACGACCGGCAAGCTAAAACAGGTGCGATATTCGCCACTCAGTTACCAAGGGAGAGAAAGTATTGCGCGTATATTATTACATGCTATACTTTCTCTCCCTTGATGCTATATAATTTTATAGAGTAAGTAAGATGTTTATGGAGAAGTGAAAAAATAAGCTACATTATATAAAAAATATAAATATATTAAATAAGTTAGTATAATGTGGGCGGGGTCTTCAAACTAACCTGGCATTATGGATCCACAGCTAGTGCTTATTTTACATTCATTGTGTGCTTACGGTACGAACCAAACAAGCATCGTTAGATCGAAACCTAAGTCTAAGATGGTCTAAGTTAAGGTGGTTAACTAGACGCTTTTATTCGCGTGTCGGTTCAGTAATAGTTCGTTATCGAATCTCGTTCTCAAATAGATGACTCACCTTATCAACGAGTGTGCCAATACATTGAAGACTAACCTTGGAAAACTGGCCGATGAAAGGAAACCATTTGAGACGAAAAGGTATGTACGTTTAAAATTCTACCATTTGGTTGTATTACATTTCTAAAGTGTG